TTTTTCAAGAATTCCCAGAACTCCTGACAGAAATCTTTAAAAATTCCTGGAGAAGAGCCAAATGACTGAAGAGCAAACATAATTCCATCAATATAAAAGGAAGATAAAACCTTACTTTTGAGTCTGGATACTACAGACAATTTAATACCTGAAGTAAGCAACATACTAAACAAACAACAAAACCTGCAAGCACCTAGGAATGAATGCTAGCATGCATTTGTCAAGAACAAATCATGTGAAACAACCCTTTTCTTTTTTATGACAGATTAATTAGTTTAATAGAACAAGGGAACATTATAGTTGTCTTATATTTTGATCCCAATCAAGCAGTTGATTTTCATGATATTCTTGTGGACAAAGTACATAATGTCAGCCAAATATTACAATCTGGTCAATTTGTGATTGATAGGACAAACGGTACTAGTAAGTTGTTTACAGTGACATATGGATATGGGTATCTGTCTAGGGCACTGGGCTCAACTATGTGCTATTCAATATATTCATAAATTATCTAATGGTAGAATGGAGAGGGTGCTTATTAAATCTGGAAGACACCAAGCTACAGGGTTTAGCTAATTCCTTAAAGGGCAAACTTATGATGAGCTCAGCAGATTGAACAGAGCCCAATTCAATAGAATAGGGTCCACTGATATCAAGCATAAGATTTTGCAACTGGGTAATGACATATCAAAAGAATAAATACTGGAGATCTGACTTGACAGCAATGAGAGAAAGATTTATGAATTCTAGTGATCCTTAGTTTATTATGAGCAAGAAGTGTTGATGCAGCAGCTAGAAAGGTTAATTCAAGCTTGGTTTCATTATCAGAAGTAATTCCTTCATATTACGGAAGTGATACATTTGTTTTGTTGTACTCTGTACTGGTAATAACACACTTGGAGTACGGTATTATGTTTTGAACTGGGCACCACACCTTAGGAGGGATGTAGAGAAGGTTCAAAGGGAAGCTGCTAGGTGAAAAGGAGTCTGGAAAGCAAGTTTGATGAGGTATGATGAAAGGAAATGGATTAGTGATTAGTTTGCAGAAAAAGGGGTGCTAAGAATTGGTACAGAAATAGTGCATAAATTGAATCTCTCTTTGATGAGCTTCCACCCATTGTTTCTTGTCCTATCCTTAGGTGCTTTGGTGAATATGTCAATTCCATCTTCTAAATTGCATTGTTTAGTTCCCTGCCTCTAATATTGAAAACATGACTAGTGTAAGGGTTTTTAAAACTAAAACCACATCCAATGTCACTGGACAAAAAGAACTACATTTCCTCATAGTGGAAACTCTCTAGCTAAAATGTCTAAAATAAATCAAGATAAACCCTGTGGGACAGGATAAGGAGTAAAAATTGAAATTAGAAGGAGATTTAAGCAGAATATTAGAAGGAATTCCACAATGGAACAATATCACTAAAGCATGGTGAGCCTTCCTTAATAGTGGTTATTAGAAGGTGACTAGATAGACATCAATGAAAGATGGTATAATAGAATTCTGCTTTGCAGGGGGTTGGACAAGATTTATTATTTATAAAGTTTATAAACAAAAGCAACAATATCATTTTCATAATCCAGTGCCTAATCGTGAAATGTCATGTTCCCTTTTGACATTCTTGTAGTTATTAAGGCAAGTTTTTCCTGTCAATACTTAGTCATTGGGATTTGTTTGGTAAACAATAGGAAATTGTCTGCTAAGAAATAGGCATTGGACTATATTGCAAGTACATGTTCTTGATTTGCACTCAAACATTCTGGACTCCTATTAAAATCATGTAATTACATTAACATTGCCCTAGTTATATTTTGCAAGTAAGAACACAGCTGCCAAGCCCAGCTGTATGAAGTATTTAGGCAGGAAAAGTAGGATAACAGGTATAATTAGCTGTTGCATATAGTTATGAGATCTTATAAATTTAATTGGTTTTCTATCATGTGACTTTCTGCAAGCCTCAACGTGTTAATCATGGTGAAATTTGTGAGCAAGTCATGAATGGGCTGTTGCTAAGCTCTAATACAAAATTGTTCCTGGCTTATAAATTGTAGTAAACTTTAAAGAATTTCTTACATATCCACCAAGGAAGCAACATTGGCTAGGGTCATTCAGCATATGAAGCCATAATACAGGTAAACTTATACCTGCAGTTGAAATAGAGTTTGTCCACAACAGTCATATATCATAACAGTTGGTCATGTGAATGACCCCATTTTACAACCTTTTTTGTAGTTAAACAAATGTGACAGTTGTAGAGCAAACACTGCTGTTAAGCAAACCAATGGTATTGGTGAAGCATTGCTGGATTTATTTTATTGCTGAAAACCGATCCTTTTCAGCAAAACCATCATAAAATGTGACCATGTGGCCACAGGATGCTGCAAAAAATTTTGTTTTTGCATACAAATAAAAAAATGGCAGATGCAAAGGCTGTTCTGCATGGAGTTGTCTGAGATGATGGCTAAAATCTTGGCACACTTATCTAGGAGCAAGTCCCTGTAAATCAAGCAGGACCTATGTTTGAACTAGTTCATTGTAGAATAAAAATAATTCAATTATGCCAAAGAATAGTTAAAACAATAGATTTCCACTGGTATTATATGCCGGGAATACAAGATACTGAGATGTAAGCAATTACCAGGCTGAGCCCAAGGGAGGGGTCAAATGTGTCATCAGTCTCAAGTCCCTTTGTACCCACAAGAGAGCAAAGTCCAGCCCACTTTGAATCCATTGACTCTTACCTACCACCGATTTGCTTTAACCATTACTAGTTCAGATTCTTTTAGAGAGCTTAAGCTTGCAATAAATCTTTATATCCATTTGAAGTTCCTGGACTTCCTGATTTTCCCTATGCTTGACATTAAAGGAAAAAAGCAATGCAGCTTTGAATAGGAATTAGTTATGATTAATATCATGGACTGAAAAAAGAAACAATTAATCAATCCTGATGGAAGACTGACTGTACCCCTGAATTGGTTCACAATAGTCAGGCAACATACAAGTTTAAATTCTTATTATGGTTGTTTCACAGTCAAGCCAATTGTTTAATCTGGATTTGACATTCTTGTCCACTTATCAAGTCCTTACCAAGGACTTGGGATAGGCAGATGTTTTTGTTTAATAATATTAAAGGTATCATCACAAGATGAAAGCTGTTTCAAGTAAAGCTGCTTTTTGCAGCTGACTGGTAATTATTTTGTCAATGCCTATGGTGTTCAAGTGGTGCTCCAGATGTTTTGGAATTGCATCCAAGGCACCTCTTACTATTAGTACTATCTTTGCTTTCTTTTGCTACAGTTGTTCTACATCTATTATTATGGTTGGTTGCACAGTCAGCCAAATGTTTAGACTGGATTTGGTATTTTTGTCCACCTATCAAGTTCTTCCCAAGGACTTGGGATAGCAGATGTTGTTTGATGGTGTTAAAAAATATAGTCACAGCAGGCCCATCCATCCTAACCCAAAGCCAGGAGAATAACGAGGTCTTCAAGGCTTTATGGAATGCTAATAGGGTGCAGACAACATGGATTTTAAGGGAGATCTCATTCCAGAGGCAGGCACCATGACATAAAAGACATGTTACCTTAGCCCTGATAGATGCCACTGATTAATCAAAGAGACCCAGCCAATTCACTTGGCATATACTGGCCAGGCAGAAATCTATGGGAGATAAGTCATACATATATTTAATGGCATGAACATGCATATATTTAATGGCATGAACATGTCACTCCTCATCTGAAATAGTAATGTTGACTTGATATGTGGAATTACATTCAGGCTTCCAGCTATTTTAAAATACTGTAATAGATTTTCTGCAAAGGCTGACTTTAAACAAATATATTTATACCACAGCATTCAGATAACCAAATACAGCTTTTCATACATATTACTAAATTGGGGTAAAATTATAGGATTAACCGGGGTGATGGCATTAGTAAGTAAATAGTATCTAATCCATGCTATGCAATAAATTGCACTACCTAGATTTGTAACCTAGGACCATGCTTAACTTATTTTAAGTACTTTCAATATAGGTAGTCCACCACTTACAACCACAATTGAGCCCAAAATGTCTGTTGCTAAGCAAGACAGTTGTTAAATGAGTTCTTTCCCCTTTTTACAACTTTTCTTGCCACAACTGTTAAGTGAATCACTGCAATTGTTCAGTTAGGAAAGCAGTTGTTAAATGCCCCCCCACTGACTTTGCTTGTCAGAAGGTCACAAAAGGTGATCAGATGAACCTGGGACACCGCAACCGTCACAAATATGATAGGGATGCTGCAATGGTTATAAGTATGAAAAACGGTCATAAATCACTTTTTTTAGTGCCATTGTAACTTTGAAGTAGGTAAGTAAGTAAGTTGAGAACTACCTGTATATGAGTAGTCTGGAAGCATCCATTTGATTAAAAGAAATGCAACAACATGTTTTAGCAGTGTGAAGATGCCAGTTATTAAGAGTTTTATGTCCCATTGAATTTTTGATAGACAGATCTTTAATAGAAATGCTGGTAGATTAAAGGAAATGGATTGTGTGCTAAGGGTGCAAAGTGTTCTGCATCCACCTATATGTAAGATAAGCAAATGATCAGCTTGTGCCAACATAATTTTTCTACTGTATATTTAGGGTTTCAGGACTCTTCTGCTGTAAGGAAATGTAACCATGTAGTTAAAAAAAACCCTAAATGCTTCCCATAACTAATATATTAGCAGCTTAACTAAAACAGTCTATAAAAATAGAGGGCAATATGTTCACAAGCTACTTGAAGCAATATTTTTATTATTCTATTGAAACTTTACAAATCTCACATTTTTTTTTGTTCTAAAGATCCCAGCTTCTACAGTCAGCAACGTCAAGCGCTGCACATTCTTGAGAAATTGAATTATTTGAAGTGACTGGTGAAAAAAAAGTGTTTAGGTTCCCCCATTTGTTTTCTTTAAAGCATTTAGCTAGGAGAAAACAAGATGCCAGATACAAGATGATTTTTTCATTTATTTTCACAGAATTAATAGAAATAAGCTATGCTGTTTATTTCCATAATATTATGGGCTCAGGTAGGAAGAGTGTATGTGTTAGGGAGAGTTTAGAAAATTATCATATAAACCAGAGACAAATGAGGGTGTCTTGTATTTTTTTAATATATTTATTAATCCTTGGTTAATTTTAATAGCATAGGAAAAGGAATATTATAAGTCATATACTGTATACTAGGCAGCCCCAGAGAAGATTCTGTAAAATAATTTAGATGTATTCATTAAATACAATATAATAGCAGCCTTCTATAATGCAGGCTACATAGAGATTTCCTCCGGCTTGAAGTACCCTGATCTTTAGTACACTTACAGGAGCAGACTTGCTCCAAAAAGTGTTTTAAAGAGACATATCTATAAGATACACATAAAAGAGGGTCTAAGATTAGAAACAATTTTCCCCCCAAGATATCTTTACCATGGTCTCCACATATCCAATGACCTCATGTTAACACCATTATGTGCAAAATGAGGTTGCAAAATCTCCCTGGGATGTGGCAACTCATGCTGATTACATCGAGATGGTGGTTGTGACTGAAATGATTTTTTCAATCCCAGTTTGACTTCAGCTGGATACAACTGATCCTGAGATTGGCTAGACCCTGTTGTATTTCCCTTGCCATTCACTGGAGTGGAAGAGTTCAGGTCCACCTTGCAAGTCTCCTCACTGGATTTGGGCAAGGATTTCAATAGATGGTTCAATAATCGTGCTCCAAGTGTCTTGTCCATCCAGTCACAGGTCAGGAGAAGGTTGTGGACTTCATGCATGCACTGAATATATCCCGTGCTGTACCTCTGCTGAGCTTCAAGACCCATTTTAGAATCTGCTAAATGAGGAAGAGAGATGCTTTCAATCATTTAATGCATAAAAACTCAAATCTGTTGAACTGGCTCTTTTCCCATAATAAATAACTTTAAATAACTTTAAATTCCTGTTTTGGATCATCTATCAGGATCCAATATTTGCAAATAGACATGAAATGGATAAAAAACCCCTAGATTATAATTATTCTTTTAGCTTAATACAAAGGAATTGTAGAATTTTTGGTGCTCTCTGAACTAGATTATTTGTTTACAGATGTTTCATTACCCAATGCCATGCACTGACTATGTTATCTAGTTGAGTAATGAAGTGTCTGCAAGCAAACAACCAAGCTCAGAGAGCAACAAGGACTGTACAATTCAGCACTGAGCTCCATATATTCTCTTCTATTGGAAACACTTATAAATGTATTTAAAAAAAACATTCTGAACCTATTATATGAAAATCTTTTTATGCAAGGAAAAGCTGTTACTTCTCCAGATAGCACATGAAAACCTTTTGAGGAACATTTAAATAGAGAAAGAACACTCTACCATATATATGATTATTATATATTACATAAACTCTACTGGCAGTGAATAGATAATGATCCCAGTAGGCACTGTCAGGCATGTAAAGAGTACCAATTAATAAAGAGAAAAGAGTTACAGGGTAAAGGCTTGATATATGGGTGCCCATTATACCAGACTCTTTTCAAACATTGGAAAAAAAAAACAATTCCAAACTTCTAAACTACCTTTACAAGGTGAATAGAGCAACTACATTAATGATCATATCATTGATACCGGTAAAGGAGATATAGAATAATCTGGCAAAGACCTTATTGGCTACCAAAGAGAAAAAAATGAAATTAAGAATAATTGAATGTATTAGTATCCAAGCCGTGTGTTGAAATTAAGTTCTGTGCAGACATGTGACAAGTGAAATTAGTTGCTAAATTCAATAGCTAAACAATGCCTCAATTTACTAGAAAGACTAAGACCCCATATGTCACTCTAACCAAAAGATTTTGGCAAATATCACTGGAAAATAAAATTAAAAAGGCACTCACTATCTCCAAAGCTATTTCATTTTAGCAAACTGTCCTTCAGAGCACACAGGGCCCTGCTATGTTCCAAAGATTTATACATAAAATCCTGGCAAGGGAAAATATATAAAGCCTACAGTGATGATCTACTGATCTTCTTTTGGAACAGCTAAATCCCAGATGTGTAGACTACTCTTTGCTAACTTTTGTTTTCAGAGCACAATTAAAATATGATTCTTCACATTTTTTTTATATCTTGGAAGAAATAAGATTGTGCTATCCCAAATGGTGGTAGATCAAATTGTTTGCTTTGAGTTGTATTAATTGTTTTTTGTTTTTTGTTATATTTAAAGCTACAATAATAGTAAGGCTACTTAGAGCTTCAGAAAGGCATATACTTTGTAGTAATAAACCAATGAAGTTATACTGTATGTAGTTTAACTTGAGAAGAACTTCCAGGCACATACAGTAATTATTTAAATTATATAAAGGTGCTTAGAATAAAACTGGCCAAATGTTGCCTAGAATATCAAGAGTGAAATATCTAGGGTTCCTAGTAGGAAATAGGAGTTTCCTAAATTCAAACTAAGGAAACCTAAAGTCATCCACAAACTAAGAAAATCTTTTCTAGGCTAACTGGATATTCCATCTGGTTATTCCACTCAGGCTTATATCTTACTGACCAATCTGAAAACAAGGACTAAAAGAGATAGGGAGATTCCAGAGTTTCAAAAAGCATTTGACGATTTAAGAGTTCATGTTAGAGCCCTATTCTTAAGGGGTCTAACTCTGACTGAACTTTCTCTGGAAGTAGCCATTTCTGATGTAAGACACAAGGCAGTGTCAATACAAATGGATAAGGACAGAGATTGTCCTTGTGGTTTATCCAGGGCTTTTTTTCTCATAGAACGCCCAGAAGTTCTGGCACCATTTTGGGATGGAACCTTGTAGGGTAGGCAAGGTGGGTTGTATGACATGTGTGAGTTCTGGCACCTTTTTTTTTTTTTTTTTAAGAAAAAAAGCACTGGGTTTATCTATGTACCAAAGAAGCTCACACCCTGACAACAATCAAATAGTATGATACAGTAAAACATATCTATTCTCACATGAATTATTGAAGTATGAGGTTTTCTTATGGAAGAGAGAATGCCATATACTACAGAGCCACATTAAGCAAGGCAGCTCAAATGTAGCATCTTTAGCTGCAGTAGAAGAGGATTTGAAAGAGAATGGGCTGCTCTTTCACCCAGAATTATGGTGCTAGCAGGAAGTCTGGCTTGCAGCCTGATGACAGCCAACAGCTCCAAGGAAATCAAAGGCTTGTAGTAACTAAAATCAAGAACACACATAGTGCCAGGCTAGGCGGGGGCAAGTAATTCAAGGACCCTAGCAGGAGGCACAGATTGGGCCTCAGCCCACACTGAAGTTCAGAAAATTAAAGGATCCAGAAAGGGTTAATTAAGTTGTGAAATAAAGGCTAAGGCACATGGGTAATCTGGCTGAAACAGTAACAGGCATTGTGTTGGTAAGACAGTATTATGACATTAACTCTGAAGAACACACTGTATCCTCTGAACCAGGGCTGTCAAACTCAATTTCACTGAGGACTGCATCAGCACTGCGGTTGCCCTGGGGGTGTGTGTGTGTGTGTATGGCCAGAGTGGGAGCAGCCTAATGGGTGGGTGTGGCCAGTTCTACATCATTCGTGTTAAGGGGGCCTGTGGGGGCCTGGGCAGGAATGGGACAGATCTGAGGGTCTCTGACAGAAGGGGGTGGGACCGGGGCAAGTGCCAAGGCATGGTCCACTGGGGCAAGTGCCAAGATGGCCACCACAAAATTGTACATTGGCTCCCGGTTGGCCAGGGCCAGGGCCAAGGCGGCCGTTCCCTCACTGTTTCCAGGATGGCTTCGCGGGCCACATGAAACCACTTTGCGGGCCTCATCTGGCTCCCGGGCCTTGTGTTTGACATGCCTGCTCTGAACAATGAGAAAAGGGGGAGAGGGTCAGGGAGGTTTATATCTAAGAATCTTGAACCCAATAAAATTCAAAAACTATTTGTGTGCACATCTCTGGTCAATTCCCAAATAACCATGTTATGTCATCATTTTATACAATGTACAACTTCACTGAAGCTAAATATATACATACCTTGTTTCTTCTCCCTCTCCCTCTCCCAATCTCATTCCTGCTTCATTATTTCTTTGAATAACTTTGCCAAGCTATTAAGCTGGGTTTCATATACAAAACAGGAGCAGCTGCAGTCAATATATAGGTACAGAACATCAACTCACCTATATTTCTGCTGTGTTGGATATTCTGTAGATGTTTTACTGTCATTTCCAAGATATCTGCTTTTTCAAGTTTTGACTGCTATTTTAAAATAAAATAACAAGAATTATTATCATATCCTATTTGAAAGCAGCTGAAAAATGAAATACAGATGGATATAAGGAAACGTGGGAGCAGAAAAATGTTAAAAATCTTATGCTTACATCAAGCCGAAAGGCTCCAACAACTGTTTCCTTGAGCTGGTCCAAACAATTGTTAATCCTCTCTCTTCGTTTCCTTTCAATCAAAGGTTTTCTTAGCTGAAATAATTAAAAGAGAATATTAGGAATGGCTTTCTTGACTTTATACAGGCCTTTAGATTTTTTTTCTAATGCAGATTCTTTTATCATACAATGGAACAACATATATGGGAACTATCAGACAATCTTTATGATCAGCATTTAAATAATTACAATTATGGAACATTTTCTGCAAGGCACATCCACATATATAGTGCAGGTTTAGATTGATCCAGTCAAATAAACAGATAGTATAATCCTATGCATATATATTCAAATTAAGTCTTAACTTTAGTCAATGGAGCATATTTTCAGATCAATCTATATTGGGTTTCTAATAATCTCATTATCAAGAAAATGGTTTGTGAGTGTAACAGGCACTTCTAAAATTTAGAAGTATAATTTGCTTTTCCTTTATCTCATGTAATATCAAATTTTATTAATAGATTTGTATTCTTGGCTACTCCTTTCATTCACCCATCCTAATTAGCCCTAAAGAGATTTAAGCTATTTTAATGAAAACCTTAATAGGCAGATTATCCAAGCCAGCTATGCCCTGTGCTTTTTATTTTTCTAACAATATATATTTCAGTTTAGCACTGTCCACAAATGTAGTCTGCTTTTATATACTCGTATTTTTCTGCTGCATCCTACAGCTGAAGACAAACTGTTATATTGTATATTAAATACATCAGTATATATAAATAGATTGATTCACCCTCAGCACTTTTGCACATACAATATTTTTTACCTCGGTTTGTCTACTTGCTATATGCACTTTTAGATTTCATTTCTGTCAAGGGTTGGAGATAAGTAATTACCTATTATAAGGAAATAATTCTTGAAAAAGCAAAGAAACACATCTAGATAGTATACCTATGCAGACAGTTTTTTAACAACCCCACAGAGCCACTGAAAAAGTATGGCACCCTTACTTTATCCCTTCAGAGATGGCAAGTTTCTTATAGTGAATTTATTTATAAAATAATGCATACCTTCCTTTCCTCTTTGGTATTAGAAAGTTTCTGCCCACAGCTGGCTAGGGTTGTAGCTGTCATTGTAGTCCTGCAGGCCTGCCTGAAGGCTTAGGGGAGAAAAAGGAGAAAGCCCTATAGCAACTGGCTTCTCCCGTTGTCTTCTGGAGCATTCTCTGTCATGAGAGCTGCACTCTGCTAGCATTTATAGCTGGATATTAGCATGTGAATGAGGAAATTGCTTAGCTGGTCTCCTTTTCCCACAGAAGGGGTTGAGGCCAGAGGCTTGTGACATCAATCAAGGCTGACAGGTCACTACTTATCAATGGCCAGATCACACACACAGTGTCTAAAGAGCGACAGATGTCCAGCTTCATGAAAGCTTTGCTTGGTAGAAATCTTTTGTTTAAGGAGGCAGAAAACAAGTGCCAGAGATTATTTTGCTCCCTTTTCAATCAGCATTGATTCCCAGGGGAAAAAAATATCAATAATCTAAACCATAACCCAACTGAGAAATATCTGGGCTACTGAGGTTAATGGATATATTAGCTTTGTATATGGATCTTTCTTGGTTCACCTATTTTCTGCCCTTTGGAAGGTTGAAGAAGCTACATGATGTTCCTTTTTCTACTCATTCTAGAAATAGACTTTCTGATTCATTATAAAACTATGATGGAAAAGTTATTGTTGCCACAGAAAAGGTTGGGGAACTCAACCTGGAATTTTTCTGTAATAATAATAATTTATAAATAGGATGCGCACTCCAAAATCTAACAACAGACTTAATAATTAGTGTCATGTATCAGTAGCCTTAAAGGTGACTTCAGGATGATCAGTCCTAGGAATGTTTATTTTAGATAAGTTTCATTGTGAACATCAGTTTCTTAGGAATATCATCATCAACATCATCATCATCAGAGTTTGAGGGGACTTTGGAGGTCTTCTCGTCTAATCCCCTGATCAATATGTACTAGCTCTAGGTAAAATATATATTGTTGTTTTAAATTGTATCCAATCTTTAAAGTTGAATGCACCATAAAATAATCTTAAAAACAAAACTTACTTTGAAGAAATTATGGTAAAGCAAGAAAGAAATAGTTAACTCTTTTCCAATTCATTAAAACACATCTTAATTAACACAACAGATTTCAGGACAGTGGCAATCCTGTATGTAATTATTTGATGTCTTGTATCAAGGAAGGTTACATAATATGAGTTTCTATCTGCTAACATCATGGCTCCATATTGTATAAAAATATATTGATTTTCTTGGATAAATATATTCTGCAAATCACTTCTCTGATCTATAGGTTTAACATTAACAAGTATAATTCTAACTTTAGAAGATTGAATTTGAAAATGCCCGTTGGAAAAAGAATTTTAAAAAAGTATTAAGAAAGAATGAGAAATGTGACATTGATTTTCTATCTTAGGGAAGTTTTGTTTTATATGACAAAATATCACTAATGGCAATTTTTTTACATAGAGTTATTAATTCTTGCACTTTTGATACAATCAATTAATCCAGAATTTCAAAAAAAAAAATTTTTTTTCCTTTTTTTTTTTTTTGCTTCATGCAAACATGTAATACCTCTTCCATCCTGGAGAAGGATGGTGGGGCCTTTACATTTTTCTGGCTCACTTCACATCACTAGATATAATCAATATTTCTTCAACCTCAGAAAATAGCAGAGAGGAAATTACTGTAACTCTTGGTGATCCAGGAGCTCATCTTGAGTTAACCATATTACCTATAATTTATAGAAGAAGAAAGGCCTGAGAAATTTCAGCATGTGGTTTTGTTTTCGACTTGCTGAAAAATAGATTATGACTACAGTGCTATAAGATATATCTTTTGTATTTGGGAGTAATATTTCTTCAGAATCAGGAACAAGGAAAACTATCTTAGATAGAATTACTTCTGTTGAGAAACATATAATGGTTCAGTGACTTTCCAATCTAAATAACTTGGCACTAATTCAAAGTCAAGAAGTCCATGGTGGAAAGATCATTGTGAAAACTGGTTTTTTTTGGCCACATGAAATTTGCTCAATGACTATTGTTAAGTCAATGTTTATTACGGTCAGAGACCAGAGATAGAGACCAGAGCAAGTTAAAAACACTCAAGGAATATCCAGTTAAAAATTAGAATAAAATAATAAATAACAGATAAAATCTATATTAAAATCACAATTTGGCATCCAATCTGTTAATTACACAGGAGCAAATCACAGCATGGCCTACCTATACTATAATATCAATCCTTAAACTGTGAGGCCTGTAGGAATGACTATTGAAAGGTACATGCTCTTTTTCTTCTTCTTAGCATTATTCCTGTGCTATGGCAGGGTCTGCTTTTTGGCAAAGCTGTCTCTATTTGGGTTGATCCAGGGTGTTTTCAGGGGCAATGCCCACGTAAATGTACATTTCTGAAAAATATTAAAATAACAGCAATTCAAACTTAGTTTAACTTGCACAATTTCAACAAACCATTGTTTTGTTTGGCTATTGTAATCTACAACTTCATTTATATTGTGTGTAGTGTTGTGTCAATATATTGGAATTACAACTGGAATAATTTAAAAGCTTCTTATGGACATGGATTTTTAATGTTATCAGGGTATGGGACTTTTATTTAGAAACACATTTTTGTCTGTTATTTATTTTAGTTCCAATAAAGATCTAATCTAGTATTATTTCTGCATCCAGAAGAGAAACTTTGGGCTACTGACTACTAATGACATCATAGTGCTATGTGGCTGAGCTGCCACATACAGTAATAGTATGTGGTACATTTTTTACCCCTATTTGACTTAGCAGAATTGCTTGGATTCACAAGGAGTTTTTGATTGATGTGCCATACCAAGGCATGAATCACGGCTCACAACCTATACTAATTGAGCTCCCTAATCATACTAAATCAAAACCAAACAAACTATTAAAAAAACTTTCAACTTTGCAAGTTCAGTCCAAACTATAAAATTCCAATATATCTGTTAAATTAAAAAAAAAGAAGAAGATATATCCAGTTAAAAATCTCCCATGCATCTACTGTGTCCCTTATTGCTGTATAGGCTGCATGAGTCCAAATATGTTACTTTTGTAGGTCAAGATATGTTAACCCATGTGATTACTATTTTTCCATAAGAATTTATTCATATATTGGAGGAACTATAGAATGATATTGAATATCTTTAGCTGGAGATTATTTTTTTATTTTGCATTTATGGATAGTATTGAAATTTTGAAAACTGTGTAATTATTCTCATTCAGGCAAAGTATGACATTTGTCTGTATAACTGAGTGGGAAATAGGAGTGCAAGTGCAAATATGTCAGCATGTTATTCAAGAGTCTACTCTGTGATTTGCTTTCTTCTCCTTTTTATGTTGCTCAATGCTAGGTTTTTTAAAAAGAAAAAGAAAAAGCCTTGAACTGCAAAGCTGTCCTTTTTTTCTGAATTTCCTAAAGCAGTGGAAGATTCATCTTAATTCTCCTTCCTGTTTTTCAGTATGTGTGAATATTTCATATATTTTAAAAGAAAACAGCATTAACATCTGTTCCTACACTTTTTTAAGATGACAAGAAAAGGAGGCTTGAAACTAGAAGACAAAAAAAAGGCAGATGTTAGTGAATCCCCTTCAAGGCAGATGTCTATTTTTTTTTCCTAAGAAAAAATGCTTTAAAAATCAGGTTTAAGAATTCATAGGACACGCGACTGCTCAGCTTGTGGAGGGATGTGGGAAAACTCTAATTCACAAAGAACTTATTCAAACCAACCTAATAGCCATGAAGACTCTAATCATCAGCAGGAAAATAGACAGCAAGTCCACCAAAGAGGCCAGTAGAGAAAATTAACCCTTTCTGATTTGGTATGTAAAATAAAGATAGAATTCTCATAGTTGGCCATTCTCATATCACATAGCTGCCTTGCCAAAGAATTCTGTTTACCATATTAATCTATGCAATGCTCAAACTTCTGGGTTAATGATTATGATTTACAGAGGGTTCAAATCAATCAGATTTTTTAAAAAAATATTGTACAAAATGAGTATATGTCAGGACTCAAAGGAGCATTTGTTCTTTACCTCAGGTATAAAGAACATTGTATAGGAAATTAACCTATGAATATCCTCGTCCACTTAAGGAGTTTACTAAAGAGGGACCACAGTTCTTTAAATCAAGGATTCTTCATTTTCTCCTTATATTGGAATAGATACCCCAAGATGTTAGGATCCCATAAGAGCTTTCATGTCAAGCATGCTTGAGCAGTTCAAGCAGCTAAGAAGTTTATTCCTGTTGACTATGGACTGCTTTTAATCTTAGTTCCATAAAAGTCAGGATTTGTGCAGTACTACATTAGTGGGGGAGGAGGGGATGCGAATTAAATTAGCAGTAGACAATGAGAAGTTAGCAGTAGACAATGAGAATTAGCAGTAGACAATGAGAAGTGTCAATACTTATTGAGAAGAATGCAGTCAAGCGGGCTCTGAGATGAGCAACAAGAAAAATATGAATGGATGGGGTGGAGAAATTCTGGTGTTCCAGAAGATGGTACTGAATGCAACTCCCTCCCTTACTATTGACAAGCTACTTGGATCTGTTTGGTGTCAAGGATCAATAATCTCTTAAGAGTGATAAGTCTCTCTCCTTCTCTCTCTCTCTTTCTCCCCTTCCCCTTTCTCTGTGGAGAGAGAAAGAGAGAGGGAAGGAAGGAGGAGAGGGAAATAGAGAGAATGTGTTTACAAGAAATAACAATAATTCTGTTCAGTTTCAGAATTCCTTAGGAAACATTACTTTAAGTGGGATTGAAAAATGAGTAGCTGTGAGAAAAGTCTGTCAGCGCTTAATAACTTTTCAAGCATAGAGAAAGTTGACTTATTGAAAATGATGAATCCATAGTTTCCTTTTCATATTACTCATTAATTGCAAACAGGATGATTGTTTTTTAAAAAGAATCTACCTATATAAAAATATTTAATGATAAATTTTATCTTTTCCAGGCTCAAACACCCAGAGTGGTTTGGTCACCAGAATTTTTTCCTCATAATAATCCATGAAGTAGACTGAAATAAAACATCTGTGATTTCATGAAATGCTTACTCATGTTTAATTAAACTATATTTTATATCATAAACTAATTCTGAGAATATAACACACTTGCCACAAAAGCTAGATTCATACAACACACTTAGACATGTGTCATTAATGTGTGACTTAGTATGATGTGTGCAATCCAGTGGAGTAGTCAACATCTCTCCCTCCCCATTTCTAATTAAAAACTATATTTTTATTGTTATTGTTATTAGAGTTATTTATTTTTACGGTTTTATTACTTTCAATGTTGTAAGCGGCCCAGAATTCATTGTGTTTATTATTTATTAAATTTATTTGCCACCTGTCTTGCCACAGGTGGCAAATAAATTTAATATATAATAAACAAAATAAATAAATATTCAATTTTACATATTGAATCTGCATTTTTCCTTTGGCCACATTAAATAAATGATACTAACCTGTAAGTTAGCTTTAGCTTCGTGTTTTCAGTGAAATCACTATAGTTATTAACTTACATTCTGTATTCATTTTATCATTGTGTCTTATTCAATACATCATAGTTAAACCAAACATGGTTTCATGTGATTTGTGAATCCAACCGTTATGGTTTATATATTAAGAGATAATAATAATTAAAGTAAGGCATGAACCAGCAATTATTCTTAATAGCCTTCTATAAGTGACCTGTGCATAGGGGTTAGCAGCATAGGTGCATAAGAGTTTCCACAACTATTCCTGTAAGAGAATCATTAAAGCAAAGTAATGTTCTAAAGCATGGGTGTCAAACTCACCATGTCATGTCACGTGATGTGTCATATCGCAACTCTTTTGCATTGCCGGCAATGGGGTGGGCGCGGCTTCAGTATGATGAAACCGGCCTGTGGAC